GTAAAGCACTTTGAATTGCCTTGTTACTGAAAATGTGCTATAAAAATAAAACTACCTTACCTTACCTAAAACTTTCAGGGCAGTGTGCTTTGAGGACACTGGCATTTCAGTCCTTAGAACTGACCCCAAAACATTGATTCAATGACATCTTTCCAACATTAATTATTTGGCTAGAATTAGATGATTGTTTGATGGTTTATCCACCATCAATTGCTGACCTTAACCTTAAATTCAGCCTTTTTGATTATAATTCAACATTGAATTAACATCTTTAGCAGGTTGCAAACAAGCCAACAGTGAAGGGGCTGTGTGGTTGGGACATTCCACTCGTGAATGGGGCGGTGGACCGCTTCACTCCTTGTAGTGACTTGAAGATGTTTTTGTGTCGACACATTACGCACAAACAGCCAGCAATAATATTTACGGACAAGTAAGAAAATGTACAGAAAGGAATCACAACCCTATTCTCAACATGTATTGCTTAATTTAAAATGTGATTGTCCCCTGCCCAATAATAAAATGCTCTGAGCCACAGCTCAAAGAGAAGGAGTGAGACAAACAGCACACATTGATTCAACATTGATCAGATGTTGGCATTTCAATCATTAGAATTTGACCACAAAACATTGATTCAATGGCATCTCTTCAACATTGGTTACTTGGCTGGAATCGGATGATTGTTTGATGGTTGATTCACCATCAATCGTCGACCTTAACCAAAAATCAACCTGTCTGACCATAATTCAAAATTGACAGTACTATCACTTGCTATCTGGGGAGATATGGAAGGTTTTGGATGTTGACTTCTGCGGTCAAGATGAGATGGTTTCCACCTTGTGTATTAATGAATATTCACTTGGCATGCAGTGATGTGAAGATTTGTGCCGATGTTTATATCTGATATTATTAATATTGTTTTGGCTGAGAACTGATATTTACTGATGTATATTCATTCCATTTCCCTTTCAATACTTTGTAATCACATGTATTCATTGATTTTAGCTATTTGCAGACAGTTGTGATCCCTAAGCCCTGTGAACACAGCTGGTCCACTGTAATGTGTATGAATTCAACATTATTCACAATATGTCTGCAGTTTTGTTAAAGTGTGTTTGAAATTGTGCAAAGCTTTTTCTGTTCAAGGAAACCCAGCAGACTGCATTAAGTCATTGACTTGCAGCATTCACTCCTTCTGGACTAGCATGTAGTGGCAATTGCTTGTTTTGTTGTTGACTTTACATCAATCTTTCATACCATGGTTGCATGTAACGGCAGTAGAGAGGAAAACATCCCCTTTAACAGGAAGAAACCTGCAGCTGAACCAGAACCTGGCTCTGTACAGGTGGCCATCTGCTACGACCGACTGGAGATTTGAGAAGACAGAGTAGAATGTACAAAAGGAAACGGATGAACTGATGTAGGATTAATTTTGATGTTCATGAAAGTCAAAACTTAATGGCAAAAGAATGAGAACAATTAGTTGATGGCAGCAGTATCTCAGCCGATGCTTAGCTTCTGTGGAGAGAAAAAGTGAGAGAAAACAAGAAGTTAAACACTGATCTGTCTGAAGGAATCTGTGCTAAATGAGGGAAACTGCAGAGGTGGGTCATCCTGTGTGCTGCTCCATCCACTGGTTTCTATGGTTTTCTCCTCAACCTGCTGCTAGGTTCTGCTACGCCGGGCCCACAGCCTGCTGAACTAATGAAACTTGCAATCAAATCAGAAAATTTTCAGTTGAAAGAATTGTAAAAGAAAGGGGTCACTGGGTCTTTGGGAAAATGGAGGAAATCAATTTACTTATTTTTGCATATTTCATGGTTTAGCTAGACTTTTATCATCATGTTAAACTAAGATGAGATGTTTTCTGAATTACTCAGAATTGGGAATAATTCTAAATTTTCTTATGTCACAGAAGTGTGTGGTACAATGCTACATATGTAGTAGAAGCTGTTCTCTTCCTTCATATCTTTTCTGTTTTGGTCATAGATGTCAGTTTTTAGACCCAATCTCACTGAGTCTGTTGGTTCGTTTCCACTGGCAATTTGCAGCAATGAAAAATAACCGGTTAAAGTGCAATTTGGTTTTACCTAGTGAGCTTTTCCATTATCTCCTCTGTACCTTACTAATGTGGGCAGGACATGAGCAACAGCAGCTGTCTCTCCTCTGATGTTTGCAGCAACACTTGGCAATCGAGAACCTCGAGGTTCTGGCAAACACCTTCTGGTGTTTCTTTTTTTAAATGTGCAACCTTTTGGATTCATGTAATGCAGTCAAAAAATGTAAACCAGTAGCCATGCATAAATTTTATTATTACTTTTTAACCTAATGAAAAATAAAATTCATATCTCAAGCTAATATCATGTAGTTCCTGTGTTTCACAGTGTCGACGCAAAACAGCAGCTCTGTCAGAAAGCTGACCAACAGCTTCACTGCTTCTCTCTTATTTATTACTGTATTTCATAGTGGCAAACTGCTAGCAATGCTGCTAATCACTGTCATTCTGCTGCAAAGGTTACGGCATGTGTTCCTGCTGCTGCTCCTGATTAAACTCATAATTAAACTCCTCCATACTGAGCAGCTCTCTGATAGCAGACGGCAAGTCTGCAGTCCACAGCTAAAAACACTAAATGTTGTTAGCAGTTTTCAGTGATGTCAATCACGAGCCAATCAATGAATGTGGTCAGCTGTCAATCAAATCACTTCGATGCAGTACTCAGCTCAGTCCTGCTAGCACTACCCCGGAAGTAGGTGCAAAAATCTGAGAACAGCCAGCCAGAGCCTCGCTGGATCTGCTGATGGAAAATGAATCTGGCTGAGGTGGACCGCAACCAAACTGGTTAGAGGCGAGCTATTGGAAAAGTGCCTAAAGCTAGTGTCACTTCAAGGTAGTTAAGTGTATCATGAAGAAGTCTGTGTTAGTTGACTTCTCGCTCTGATATGTCTGTCTTTGTCTTTCCTCACAGTTCGGCTCCACGACAGCATATCAGAAGAAGGATTCCACTATCTGGTCTTTGATCTGTAAGTGCTGCTTCTTTTTTCCCAAGTCATATTAATGTCCCAATCAGACAGTTAACCCTTAGCTGTTACATGTTTTGGGGATGACAAAAACATGTTGCATCCATATCCTCATGAGAGTTGAGGGGGTGTACATTAATCCATCCTTGTTCTTCCTACAGAATTTTAGTCGGTTGTCCAAAAATCTTTGCTTGGAAATAGCCTGGTAGAAAGCAGCCCCTTGTTTTACGCCGTTTGCTTTGTCCAGAGGCTCTAGGCTCTCAGCTGTCGAGAAATGATTGCTTCCTGGAGGCTTGGATTGTGCTGAGATTTTAAATTTTAACCCTAACTGCTAACATTTGTCCGTGATGGTATGTAATGCACCACTTTGATACTAAGAAGCTTACTGGAAGTTGCCTGTGCTATGAACAACCGTCCTCCACTGTGAAGAGAGAAGAGCCGATCCGAGCGAGCTTTAATGTTAGTTTGATACTTGGAAGCGTGGCCAACATGGACTGAACAGCTTCCTTCACTTCTTCTGCTGCCATTGCTAAAACTACAGATAGACGACAATTCTAAAACAGCACAGAAAATTGTCATTGTTCACTACTTCTTCTGTTCGCCTGATAAAAAAATCAGCCACAGACAATCTGAGTCAAGAGAAGACACAGGAAGGCAATGACCAGGCTAGCTTGGAGATGAACTCCCATAAAAAATGGCCAGGGGGTTCAGGTGGATATTCAGTTGTCTGATTACAATTCAACATATAAAAAAACATACAGATATAAACTTTATGGAGATTTTATCTCTTCTTTTGAAAGCAATACAAGTATGAACACTTTTTATTCAGGTTATTTCAATGGCAATAAGTTTGTGTGGCTTCATCACGGGGGGCTAATAATGCTGACCTCAACTGTACACATTCCTACCTGTATTTCTAGGAAGGAAATATAAACACATTGGTTTATATGCGAGGGGATGGGGGGGTGCAGCTTTGACTTTAAGATAAATACATAAACAACTCTTGTGTAACCTTTCGAATAAAATAATCATGTTTATCAATACAAAATATGCAAGGATGTAAACAGTGACATATATAAGCAATTATGCTCAAATTTACATAAACATTAGCTTATATGTTGCACAAATCTAAGAATCTAATGTTTCTAATCTCTGAATTTCTTTAAATGCAAAATCAGCAGCAATAATATTACTCAATTAAAAGTGCCATAAAACTACTCATATAAGTACAGTTTTTCCCAAAAAGTTACTCATGTTAATCTAACCAGCCCTAGTATAGATGGCAACTATGCTAGTAGCCTATTCTTGGTAACAAACTTAACGTGATGTATTGGCATCAGCTAGTCTATTACCTGCATCCAACAGCATTACTCAACTCACTCTGTTAGCTTACCTGAACAGCTCTGCACAGCAGCAGCATGTGTTTGTTGCTGCTGCACAGGTGTAAACCCAGCATGAGCATCTTGGCGCTCATGTTGCATTTAGAGTTGGCTTGGAAAAACATGCTATGACATTTTAACAATGGAT